AGGGTCAGTACTGGTGGAGGGTCAGTACTGGTGGAGGGTCAGTACTGGTGGAGGGTCAGTACAGGGGGAGGGTCAGTACTGGTGGAGGGTCAGTACTGGTGGAGGGTCAGTACAGGGGGAGGGTCAGTACTGGTGGAGGGTCAGTACTGGTGGAGGGTCAGTACAGGGGGAGGGTCAGTACTGGTGGAGGGTCAGTACTGGTGGAGGGTCAGTACAGGGGGAGGGTCAGTACTGGTGGAGGGTCAGTACTGGTGGAGGGTCAGTACAGGGGGAGGGTCAGTACTGGTGGAGGGTCAGTACTGGTGGAGGGTCAGTACAGGGGGAGGGTCAGTACTGGTGGAGGGTCAGTACTGGTGGAGGGTCAGTACTGGTGGAGGGTCAGTACTGGTGGAGGGTCAGTACAGGGGGAGGGTCAGTACTGGTGGAGGGTCAGTACAGGGGGAGGGTCAGTACTGGTGGAGGGTCAGTACAGGGGGAGGGTCAGTACTGGTGGAGGGTCAGTACAGGGGGAGGGTCAGTACTGGTGGAGGGTCAGTACTGGTGGAGGGTCAGTACTGGTGGAGGGTCAGTACTGGTGGAGGGTCAGTACTGGTGGAGGGTCAGTACAGGGGGAGGGTCAGTACTGGTGGAGGGTCAGTACTGGTGGAGGGTCAGTACAGGGGGAGGGTCACTACAGGTGGAGGGTCAGTACAGGTGGAGGGTCACTACAGGGGGAGGGTCAGTACTGGTGGAGGGTCAGTACAGGGGGAGGGTCAGTACTGGTGGAGGGTCAGTACTGGTGGAGGGTCAGTACAGGGGGAGGGTCAGTACAGGTGGAGGGTCAGTACAGGTGGAGGGTCAGTACGGGGGGAGGGTCAGTACTGGTGGAGGGTCAGTACAGGGGGAGGGTCAGTACAGGTGGAGGGTCACTACAGGTGGAGGGTCACTACGTGTGGAGGGTCACTACAGGTGGAGGGTCACTACGGGTGGAGGGTCACTACGGGTGGAGGGTCACTACGGGTGGAGGGTCAGTACAGGGGGAGGGTCACTTCAGGTGGAGGGTCAATACAGGTGGAGGGTCACTACAGGTGGAGGGTCAGTACAGGGGGAGGGTCAGTACTGGTGGAGGGTCAGTACAGGGGGAGGGTCAGTACAGGTGGAGGGTCACTACAGGTGGAGGGTCACTACGTGTGGAGGGTCACTACAGGTGGAGGGTCACTACGGGTGGAGGGTCACTACGGGTGGAGGGTCACTACGGGTGGAGGGTCACTACAGGGGGAGGGTCACTACGGGTGGAGGGTCACTACAGGGGGAGGGTCACTACAGGTGGAGGGTCACTACAGGGGCAGGGTCACTACAGGGGGAGGGTCAGTACAGGGGGAGGGTCAGTACAGGGGGAGGGTCAGTACAGGGGGAGGGTCACTACAGGGGGAGGGTCACTACAGGGGGAGGGTCACTACGGGGGGAGGGTCACTACGGGGGGAGGGTCACTACAGGGGCAGGGTCACTACAGGGGCAGGGTCAGTACATGGGGAGGGTCACTACAGGGGGAGGGTCAGTACAGGGGGAGGGTCACTACAGGGGGAGGGTCACTAAAGGGGGAGGGTCACTACAGGGGGAGGGTCAGTACAGGGGGAGGGTCACTACAGGTGGAGGGTCACTACGGGTGGAGGGTCACTACGGGTGGAGGGTCACTACGGGTGGAGGGTCACTACGGGTGGAGGGTCACTACGGGGGGAGGGTCACTACGGGTGGAGGGTCACTACGGGTGGAGGGTCAGTACAGGGGGAGGGTCACTACAGGTGGAGGGTCACTACGGGTGGAGGGTCACTACGGGTGGAGGGTCAGTACTGGGGGAGGGTCACTACAGGTGGAGGGTCACTACAGGTGGAGGGTCACTACAGGGGGAGGGTCACTACGGGTGGAGGGTCACTACAGGGGGAGGGTCACTACGGGTGGAGGGTCACTACAGGGGGAGGGTCACTACAGGTGGAGGGTCACTACAGGGGCAGGGTCACTACAGGGGGAGGGTCAGTACAGGGGGAGGGTCAGTACAGGGGGAGGGTCAGTACAGGGGGAGTGTCACTACAGGGGGAGGGTCACTACAGGGGGAGGGTCACTACAGGGGGAGGGTCACTACAGGGGGAGGGTCACTACAGGGGCAGGGCCACTACAGGGGCAGGGTCACTACAGGGGCAGGGTCAGTACAGGGGGAGGGTCACTACAGGGGGAGGGTCACTACAGGGGGAGGGTCACTACGGGTGGAGGGTCACTACAGGGGGAGGGTCACTACAGGGGGAGGGTCAGTACAGGGGGAGGGTCACTACAGGTGGAGGGTCAGTACAGGGGGAGGGTCACTACGGGTGGAGGGTCACTACAGGGGGAGGGTCACTACGGGTGGAGGGTCACTACGGGTGGAGGGTCACTACGGGTGGAGGGTCAGTACAGGGGGAGGGTCAGTACAGGGGGAGGGTCACTACAGGTGGAGGGTCACTACGGGTGGAGGGTCACTACGGGTGGAGGGTCACTACAGGGGGAGGGTCACTACAGGTGGAGGGTCACTACGGGTGGAGGGTCACTACAGGGGGAGGGTCACTACGGGTGGAGGGTCACTACGGGTGGAGGGTCACTACGGGTGGAGGGTCACTACGGGAGGAGGGTCACTACGGGTGGAGGGTCACTACAGGTGGAGGGTCACTACAGGGGGAGGGTCACTACGGGTGGAGGGTCACTACGGGTGGAGGGTCACTACGGGTGGAGGGTCACTACAGGTGGAGGGTCACTACAGGGGGAGGGTCAGTACAGGTGGAGGGTCACTACGGGTGGAGGGTCACTACGGGTGGAGGGTCAGTACAGGGGGAGGGTCAGTACAGGTGGAGGGTCACTACGGGTGGAGGGTCACTACGGGTGGAGGGTCACTACAGGTGGAGGGTCAGTACAGGGGGAGGGTCACTACAGGGGGAGGGTCACTACAGGGGGAGGGTCAGTACAGGGGGAGGGTCAGTACAGGGGGAGGGTCACTACAGGGGGAGGGTCACTACAGGGGGAGGGTCACTACAGGGGGAGGGTCACTACAGGGGGAGGGTCACTACAGGTGGAGGGTCACTACAGGGGCAGGGTCACTACAGGGGGAGGGTCACTACAGGGGGAGGGTCAGTACAGGGGGAGGGTCAGTACAGGGGGAGGGTCAGTACAGGGGGAGGGTCACTACAGGGGGAGGATCACTACAGGGGGAGGGTCACTACAGGGGGAGGGTCACTACAGGGGCAGGGTCACTACAGGGGCAGGGTCAGTACAGGGGGAGGGTCACTACAGGGGGAGGGTCACTTCGGGTTTAGGGTCACTACGGGTGGAGGGTCACTACAGGGGGAGGGTCAGTACAGGGGGAGGGTCAGTACAGGGGGAGGGTCACTACAGGTGGAGGGTCACTACAGGGGGAGGGTCACTACGGGGGGAGAGTCACTACGGGTGGAGGGTCACTACGAGTGGAGGGTCAGTACAGGGGGAGGGTCACTACAGGTGGAGGGTCACTACGGGTGGAGGGTCACTACGGGTGGAGGGTCACTACGGGTGGAGGGTCACTACAGGGGGAGGGTCACTACGGGTGGAGGGTCACTACGGGTGGAGGGTCACTACAGGGGGAGGGTCACTACGGGTGGAGGGTCACTACGGGTGGAGGGTCACTACAGGTGGAGGGTCACTACAGGTGGAGGGTCACTACAGGTGGAGGGTCACTACAGGGGGAGGGTCACTACGGGGGGAGGGTCACTACGGGGGGAGGGTCACTACGGGTGGAGGGTCACTACGGGTGGAGGGTCACTACAGGTGGAGGGTCACTACAGGGGGAGGGTCACTACAGGGGGAGGGTCAGTACAGGTCGAGGGTCACTACGGGTGGAGGGTCACTACGGGTGGAGGGTCACTACAGGTGGAGGGTCAGTACAGGTGGAGGGTCACTACAGGTGGAGGGTCACTACAGGTGGAGGGTCACTACAGGGGGAGGGTCAGTACAGGGGGAGGGTCACTACAGGTGGAGGGTCACTACAGGTGGAGGGTCACTACAGGTGGAGGGTCACTACAGGTGGAGGGTCACTACAGGGGGAGGGTCAGTACAGGGGGAGGGTCAGTACAGGGGGAGGGTCACTACAGGTGGAGGGTCACTACAGGTGGAGGGTCACTACGGGTGGAGGGTCACTACAGGTGGAGGGTCACTACGGGTGGAGGGTCACTACGGGTGGAGGGTCACTACGGGTGGAGGGTCACTACAGGTGGAGGGTCACTACAGGTGGAGGGTCACTACGGGGGGAGGGTCACTACGGGGGGAGGGTCACTACGGGTGGAGGGTCACTACGGGTGGAGGGTCACTACGGGTGGAGGGTCACTACAGGGGGAGGGTCAGTACAGGGGGAGGGTCACTACGGGTGGAGGGTCACTACGAGTGGAGGGTCACTACGGGTGGAGGGTCACTATGGGTGGAGGGTCACTACTGGGGGAGGGTCACTACGGGTGGAGGGTCACTACGGGTGGAGGGTCAGTACAGGTGGAGGGTCACTACTGGGGGAGGGTCAGTACAGGGGGAGGGTCACTACAGGGGGAGGGTCAGTACAGGTGGAGGGTCAGTACAGGGGAGGGTCAGTACAGGGGGAGGGTCAGTACAGGGGGAGGGTCAGTACAGGGGGAGGGTCAGTACAGGTGGAGGGTCAGTACAGGGGGAGGGTCAGTACAGGTGGAGGGTCACTACAGGTGGAGGGTCACTACAGGTGGAGGGGCACTACAGGTGGAGGGGCACTACAGGTGGAGGGGCACTACAGGGGGAGGGTCACTACAGGTGGAGGGTCACTACAGGGGGAGGGTCACTACAGGGGGAGGGTCAGTACAGGGGGAGGGTCAGTACAGGGGCTGGGTCACTACAGGGGGAGGGTCACTACGGGTGGAGGGTCACTACAGGTGGAGGGTGGCGGAGGTGTGCTGCCGTACGACAGTTTGGGCCGCAGGCGCCCACTGCCAGGCGTGACGTCACAAGCCTCAGTGAAAAAATGGCCGCCATGGCCCCAAGTCCTGGGCGAGGAGCTGGTGAACATGGCGCCCTGGCGCTCTTACTGTGCCTGCTAGTGCTCTACAAGGAAGGTGAGACACGCATGAATGTTTCCCCGGTGGCCTGGTGTCCTTGTCTTCCCCGTGGGTGGCGGCGGGGAGGAGATAGAGGCATTGTTTACCTTTTGTTTGTGTAGTGTTGGGGCTCTGGTGGGGGAGCCTCGCGCTACCCCCACCCATATCTTATCATAATAATACTAATACTCACCAATTATTCACAAGACGGTACTGTAGGTTGGTGAGATTACATGAGATTGGTAGGTGTATATGGGTAGGAAGTTAGTGAGACTGATAGCGTGTCTAGCAGGGCCCAACACACTACGAGGACAGGCTGCCCTAGTGAGGACAGGGCACCCTACAGTAAGGGTTTACATCAAGAAATAACTCCAACCTAAGATGACAGCGGTGATGACACTGGCCAGGACATGCGTCTTGAGTACTAATATTGGGGCAGTGGGGCAGTACAAGATGCTGTGTGTGAGTTTGAAGCACAAGCTAGGAAATTATGAGGAAGAAATTAGCTCCTTTTCTGGGTGTTACTTCTAAACACTTCCGTGAGTTAGACAATTGTTTAATTCATGAGGAAGTGAGTACAGGGGGACTGTACTCACTCCCATAGAGTGAGTACACTCTACTCCATAGACTGGGGCCTTATATTTGTATGGAATGTTTAATCAGATTTACTCTGACTCTCTGGATATCAGAGATATTTATTTCTGGTGTGGTGCTCATGGGTTCTATTACATCTATGAAGAAAAAGTTTCAGATCAGGATTAGCATTTAGGAACAAGGTTTTGTACATGTAGATAGCACATGAGAATGTGTGGAGTGAGTGTGTCTGGGCAAGGTTAGCACTAATTGATGAAAAGGATCTATTGAATTCAGTTGCATATCTCAGGTGTGAGGGAGGAGTCACAGATATCTCAGGTGTGAGGGAGGGAGCTCAGATATCTCAGGTGTGAGGGAGGGAGCTCAGATATCTCAGGTGTGAGGGAGGGAGCTCAGATATCTCGGGTGTGAGGGAGGGATCACAGATATCTCGGGTGTGAGGGAGGGGTCACAGATATCTCAGGTGTGAGGGAGGGAGCTCAGATATCTCGGGTGTGAGGGAGGAGTCACAGATATCTCGGGTGTGAGGGAGGAGTCACAGATATCTCAGGTGTGAGGGAGGGGTCACAGATATCTCGGGTGTGAGGGAGGGGTCACAGATATCTCAGGTGTGAGGGAGGGGTCATAGATATCTCGGGTGTGAGGGAGGGGTCACAGATATCTCGGGTGTGAGGGAGGGAGCTCAGATATCTCGGGTGTGAGGGAGGGAGCTCAGATATCTCGGGTGTGAGGGAGGGAGCTCAGATATCTCGGGTGTGAGGGAGGGAGCTCAGATATCTCTGGTGTGAGGGAGGGAGCTCAGATATCTCGGGTGTGAGGGAGGGAGCTCAGATATCTCGGGTGTGAGGGAGGGAGCACTGATATCTCGGGTGTGAGGGAGGGAGCTCAGATATCTCAGGTGTGAGGGAGGGAGCACTGATATCTCGGGTGTGAGGGAGGGAGCACTGATATCTCAGGTGTGAGGGAGGGAGCTCAGATATATTTTGGGTGTGAGGGAGGGAGCACTGATATCTCAAGTATGAGGGAGGGAGCACTGATATCTCAGGTGTGAGGGAGGGAGCTCAGATATCTCGGGTGTGAGGGAGGGAGCACTGATATCTCAGGTGTGTGGGAGGAGCATAGATATCTCAGGTGTGTGGGAGGGAGCTTCAGTTGGATACAGGATACATGCTTCACCAGATGAATCGAATAGATATTTCCACCATTTTACTGTACCTGAATTTTCCTAAGAGCCACTAACACTAGTGGCCTCGATGAGGACAGGAAGCTGGCACCTTGTCGAAGGTCCCTCCATTTGCCTAGATGATCGTTTCTAGCTTCACTTTCAAAGTTAACAGTTTTGGCATTTACGGCTTCGGCGGGTAGGTGGTTCCATGAGTTTATAGCCCTATGGGTAAAAACGCTTGCTCCTGTTCTCAGTCCTGTGACTTGTTGAGCTTGAAACTGAATGCACGGTTTGTATGTTTCATCTATACTCTAGTTACTGTTAACTGTTGGTCAGTATCAAAAATCGAAATATAAAGGTATGAAGAGTAAAAATTTAGACTTAGTGCACATAATGTTGACTGAAGTGTGCAGAACTTGAGCATTACATAATCTGGTCTTCATAAAAACCATGCTTGCCAGTGTAAACATAATGCATCCCAACGTCCACAAATTTGATCGCACATAGCTACACCATGGTCAGTTTTTGGTAAATGTGTAGTATATTATTTGGTGGTAGTGTGTGTGTGTGTGTGTTTTATGGTGCATTAGATGGAACACCAAATATATAATATTAAGTAACAAAACAATGGTAAAAGCTGCACTCGGGGGGGGGGGGGGGGAGACTTGTGCTCTCCTGGTACGTAATTACCTGTCTTGATATGATTTTGGGGCTTAGCGTCCCTGCGGCCCAGTCCTCGACCAGGCCTCCATTTTGCTACACCCCTTCCCCCTAGGAAGCAGCCTGTAGCAGCTGTCTAACTCCCAGGTACCTATTTACTGGTAGGTGAACAGGGGCATCAGAGTGAATGAAACTGCCCATTTGTTTCCGCCTCCACCGGGGATTGAACCCGGAACCTCAGGACTATGAATCCTGAGTACTCCACTCAGTTGTCAGGCCCCAATTAGCTAAGTGTAGTTACTGGATGAGAGCTACGCTCGTGATGTCCAATCTTCCCAGCACTGTCATATACTGCTTTGAAATTACTGACAGTTTTGGCCTCCACCTTCTCACCAAACTTGTTCCAATTGTCTACCACTCTGTTTGCTAAGTGAATTTTCTTATATTTCTCTGGCATCCTTGTATAGTTATAGTTAGTTTAAATCTTGACCTCTTGTTCTTGAAGTTCCAGGTCTCGGGAATTCTGTTCTGTAAGTTTTATCGATTCCTATTATTATTCTGTACGTAGTGATCATATCGCCTCTTTTTCTTCTATCTTCTAGTTGTGGCATATTTAATGCCTCTAACCTCTCCTCGTAGCTCTTGTCCTTCAGTTCTGGGAGCCACTTAGTGGCATGTCTTTGCACCCTTTCTAGTTTGTTAATGTGCTGCTTAAGATATGGGCATCATACAACTGCTGCATATTCCAGCTTTGGTCTAACAAAAGTTGTAAACAATTTCTTAGTATTTTGCCATCAATGTACATATTTAAAAGCAATTCTGAAGTTAGAAAGTGTAGCATAGGCGCCCCACACAATGTTCTTTATGTGATCCTCAGGTGATAGTTTTCTATTTAGAACCACCCCTAGATCTTTCTTTATCAGGATTCTTTAAAGATTTCTCACTTAATTTATAGGTTGTGTTGGGTTTGTGTTCTCCTATTCCACATTCCATAACATGGCATTTATTCACATTAAATTCCATTACCCAAGTGCTGCTCCATATACTTATTTTGTCCAGGTCTTCTTGAAGGGCATGACAATCATCTAAGTTACTTATCTTCCGTATTATCTTAGCATCATCAGCAAACATGTTCATATAATTCTGTATTCCATCTGGTAGATCGTTTATATAGACAATGAACATTACCGGTGCAAGAACTGAACTCTGTGGTACTCCACTTGTGACATTTCTCCAGTCTGATACATTGCCTCTGATTACTGCCCTCATTTTTCTATGTTAGACAAATTTTCATCCGTGTTAGAAGCTTACCTGTCACCCCTTCCAATATGTTCTAGTTTTCAAAACAACCTCTTATGTGGAACTCTGTCAAAAGCCTTTTTTTTTTAGATCCAGATAGATGCAGTCAACCCAACCACCTTTCCTGTAAAATCCCTGTGGCTCGATCATAAAAAACGGAGTAAATTCGTTAGCCAGGATCTTCCAGATCGAAAATTATACTACCTGATGTATCTTTTTCTCCATGTGTTCTACCCATTTAGTTTTAATTATTTTTTCCAATATTTTTACTATTATACTTGTCAATGATACAGGTCTATAATTGAGGGGATCTTCCCTGCCGACACTTTTGTAAATTGGAACTACTGTATGTTAGCCTTTTTCCACACATCTGCTATGACTCCTGTACACAGGGATGCCTGAAAAATCAGAAGTGGAATGCTAAGCTCAAATGCACATTCTCTCAGAACCCATGTTGAAACTCCATCTGGGCCAACTGCTTTGTTCTTACTTTGCTCATTGAACATTTTTTCCCACTCTCTCTAGACACCTCTGTGTGCTCTGTTATTCTCTGGAATTCTTATTGTGTCTGGTTCCCTGAAGATTTCATTTTCTACAAAAACACTTTGGAACTTTTTGTTTAATGTTTCACACATTTCCTTCTCTGAATTTCTTTCCCACTTTCAACCACTGACTATTATCCTTTACTTGCAATTTGTTGTTTATGAATTTGTACAATAGGCCTCTGTTTTACATTTGTCTTCTATCCCTGTTTCACAAAACTAATGTGAACTACCGTGTGCTCTCGCAGTACTTGTGCATTAGTTGTGCTATTGTGGTGCTTGTGCACTTATGGCACTTGTGTGTTAGTGTGTTTGCAAATGTTTTGCCTGACAATGACTAAAAATAATAAACAATAAAATTTTATTTATGCTGACAATAAATTAGACTTTGAATCGGCATCATTTGACTGAAAGTCTCTAACATATGAACAAAGAAAAAATTAAAATGAATCATAAGCATGCATAGAGAATGGCTGCATAATTACCTTTCATTCTTTTTATTTTCATATATAACCAATATTGCAACATATATTAGGGTAGCAAAACAATGTTATGTACCTAAGTTTAACAAAATCATTCCATACTGTGACCATTGGAAAAACTCATTCTTATATGGCTATTACCATTTATGTCATAATTAATGTTATATGTGATCATCAATAAACATTTTGGATTAGAAGTGTATGAGGACTTATGTTCTTATCAGAATAATAACAAATTATAATTTTTTAAGTAATTCTATTGTCTTGAAAGACTAG